AAAAAAAAAAAAAAAAAAAAAAAGCTGCCATTCTACCAAAGCTGAAAAACAAAGAACATGTCTCTCTAGTGCTCAATGGGATTCTGACTATGTCATTGTTCCTTTATAGTACATACCTGGAGGTCACAGTGCCTGGCTGCATCTACAATAGCCCGTTCCAGTTGGAAAGCATCAACAAAAGGAACCAGAGAAGTCAAACGAGAAAACTCAATGCTCTGATAAATCTGTGCCACCTGTATAAAAAAGATAGGGTTAATAATAAAACTATTATTTATTCAGTACTTTCAATGGCAATTTCCTGATGGCATAGGAAGTAGAAATTATGCCACTGTTGGGGGTGAGAGGGACCCGAAGCTCATTATTCAGCCAACCAAAACTCACTACTCATTCAGTTGACATTGCTGGAATGTGATTCCCATACCATCTTCCTATTCTATCACATCCTACAATTATTCAAATATTTATACTTCTGAAACTCTAGTTTTGTGAAACAAAAAACAAAATGGTCACATATTTATAAAGACCTTTTACTTACCTAATAAATTGAAGTATCTTTATGCTTTGTCTGAAGGAGACTGGCAGAATTACTATGTATAGTGAATCTGCTAATTAACCATCAACTATTTGTATAGCACATGCGAAATAACACTGCTCACATACAAAGGGAAGCAGGTCAATGAAATGTGCAAATCCCTAAATACATTATAAAGATCTCTTCCCCAAATGAAACAAGCAAAAGTATTTAAAGCTCCTTTTACTGTAACAATTTAAAAAAACTTTCTAAAAAAATGCAACATTCAATTAACAGTAACACTCAAATTGTGTTAGCAGAAGGGAAAAAAAGGCTATTGGGTTGGTTTACTGGGTCTTCTGAGGAAAAAAGCTTTTATTGTGTGAACTATGATTTGAATTCCACTTCTTATACCTATCTGAACGCAAAAATACATGAATATAAGGATGCACAACTCTTCAATATTTTTTTTTGGGGGTCCGGTCATGAGGCCTGAACTCTGGGCCTGGGCGCTATCCCTCAGCTCAAGGCTAGCGCTCTGCCACTTGAGATACAGCGCCACTTTCAGCTTTTTTCTTTTTGCTTATGTGGTGCTGAGGAATCGAACCCAGGGCCTCGGGGATGCAAGGCAAGTGCTCTACCACTGAGCCACCTTCCCAGCCCCTCCTCAATATTTTTAACAGGAAAAAATAATCTAGAGGAAATGAAAATAGCTCGCTTCCTAAAAAGGTCATTTCTATTTTTACCTGCTGCAGAAGGCGAAGTATGGTGTTGTTTTGTAGTTGTGGAACATATTGTTGTAATTCTGGTTCCTTTTCAGGTTGTTCCCTGACCCAATTAAGAACCTAGAAAGTTCATTAGTGAGAATTAGGCTTTTTATTAAATTTGTTCTACTATAAAAAATCATAAAATGCACAAAATTTATGAAGCTATTAACATGTCTGAAGGTGACTGACAGCAATGGCTAAGTTAGTCATGCTGCTAATTTACCTCCAAAGATTTGTTTAGCACATCAGAAATATCTTTTCTCCCAATTTGAAGAAAAAAAGACAATGAAATGTGCGCTGATTCAAAGATTCAGGACAATACTCTTTTCACAAGGCTAAATACAACCCTAATCCACCATCAGCTACATGGTAACATAACCAAAACTTCAAAGACAAAAACTCACCTTTGTGACTCTCTCACAGAGTTTTAGAGGATTGAATTCCACTTCCAGCCAGTTGTAAAGGTCCTTCACTTCTGGAACAACATACTGTAGTACATTGAACCTGACCTACAGTTAGCAGAGTAAAAGGTTTAATTGTTGAGGGAAGTATTCCAACTGAGGTTCTGAACTAAATACAAATTAAACTAAATTTAGAAATAACTTCAGGTTTATCTAGTCTAAATCTCATTTAAATTCAACAAAAAACAATCCAAAACTGCGTTGAGGGGTTTTCTGCTCAGTTTGCATTTACCTATAATGAAAAGACCTGAAAACTTCAAAAGAAATAAAAATTCTAAGCCAACAGTAAGATATTTGCAAACCAACTATTAAATTCAACAAAGACTAATTTATTGCCAATAACAAAGCTTTCAAGTTATTTTTATTCAAATTACTCTTGATAGTTAGGATTACTGGATTGAGCCACTTGCTGGGGCAGCAATACTACTGTTAACCTTGATTAGAAAAACTTAACACGTCCCACGTATTTAACAGTTGGTCTTCAGTACCTTCAGGTACTTATTTGCAGTCAACAAACCATAGCTGGAAAATATTTAAGGGAGAAATACATAACTGTACTAAACATGTAAATTTTTATTGTGCTCAAACTTATACTAACCATATCATTAATAAGGCCAATTCGCGTTGGTGGGGCTTGAAGACCTAGCAGTGTGGCAAGGCGACGCTGTTTCTCAACTATAATGCCATCCATATCCAGAAGTCGAGCAATATCAGTTCGTTCAGGAGTAATAGGGATGGAAAGAGTAGCCAAAAGGACTCTGGTAGACATTCTGTGGTGCACAAAGTTAAGTCTATTAAGTTTGTAACTGTTGCCTAGTAAGCAAAACACTTCCTTTTAATTGTACATGCACTATTCATTCATAAAAGAGAAGAAAAGGACCTTAATGAAACGAATCCTTACTGAATCATAACTTCACTTCTTTTCCATTGTTTTCTGGCTTAATAACAGAAAAGGTACACTTCCTTAAAAGCTCAGTGACAGTGCTCAGGCCCTGAGTTCAAGCCCCAGGACTGACCAAAAAAAAAAAAAGCTATGGAAATAAGTGATACTAAGAGTAATAAAATTTTAACGGCTAGTCAGTGAAGACAATTATGGTAGTTTGAATTGAGAGGTTGAGCCCAAACCATTATTTCTGGAAACCTAAGAAGAGGGTCAAAGCCAGGCGCCGGTGGCTCACACCTGTAATCCTAGCTACTAAGGAGGCTAAGATCTGAGGATCACTGTTCAAAGCCAGCCCAGGCAGAAAAGTCCGTGAGACTCTGATCTCCAATAAAAACCACTAGAAACCCTAAGTGGTGCTGTGGCTCAAGCAGTAGAGTGGTCACCTTGAGCTGAAGAGCGCAGGGATAGCGCCCAAGCCCAGAGTTCAAGCCCCATGACCAACCCCCCCCCAAAAAAGAAGAGGGTCAAGGGGCTAGGAAGGTGTCTCAGTGGCTTGTCTTGCATGCATGAAGCCCTGGATTTGATTTCTCAGCACCACATAAGCAGAAAAAGCCAGAAGTGGTGCTGTTGCTTAAGTGGTAGAGTACTAGCCTTGAGCTGGAGCTGAGGAACAGCGCCTAAGCCCCGCCCGAGTTCAGGCCCCATGATGGAAGAAAAAAAAAGAAGGGAGTCAAGTTCAATTCTGTAGCTCTATAGATCATTAAGGATTATGGGCTCTGAAGCTCAAGAGTTAAGTTGTTAGACCCTTGCTTCACTATTTCTAAGTCTGTCTGTGACCTCCAACAAGGTATGAAATTACATGGCCTTTGTAATGACATTATCAAGTAACACACATAGGGTAAATATGTTCATTACTATGACAATATTCACTGAAGGGATATTATAGATTTGTTAAAGGAATGAGATTTTTAAAGTTTTTCCTTGTATCCATAGATGTGAACTATATCACAGGAAACAATATAGTCCTAAAGAGTGCCAAAGACACTAGCAAAATATTAACAATTCATTTAGTTTCACATATTGCTATCTATAGAAGAAAAGCAACCTGATGTATTCAATTCTAGCAAAAGGCAACTATAGTCCCATGTATTTTTGATTTTTTTTTTTTTTGGGGGGGGGTCCGGTCATGGGGCCTGAACTCTGGGCCTGGGCGCTGTCCCTCAGCTCTTCAGCTCAAGGATAGCACTCTACCACTTAAGCCACAGCGCCACTTCTGGCTTTTTGCTTTTTGATTATGTGGTGCTGAGGAATTGAACCCAGGGCCTCAGGCATGCAAGGCAAGTGCTTAACACTGAGCCACCTTCCCAGCCCCGTCCAATGTATTTTTTAAAAGTAACTGGGGACCAAGGACTTGGCTCAAGTGTTAGAACAGCTGCCTAATAATAATCATGAGCATCCAAGCTCAATCCCTAATGCTGTAAGAAAAGGTTGCTGATAGTCTAAGAATCAGTGGTAGAGTGTGGGCCTAGCTTGTACAAGGCCTTGGGTTCAATTCCTATATCCACACGAGGGGGGGAAAAGGCAAGAAGGATGGGGACGGGGGGGGGGGGGAGATAGGGAGAAACTGACCAAATATATAAGCAAGCAAACAGGCTTTATTTATTTATTTTGTTGGTCGTGGGGCTTGAACTTTGGGCTTGGGCACTATTCCTCAGCTCTTCAGCTCAAGCGAGTACTCTACCACTTGAGCCACAGTGCCACTAGAGGTTTATTGGAGATCAGAGTCTCACAGAATTTCCTGCCTGGGCTGCCTTTGAACCGCGATCCTCATATCTCAGCCTCTTGAGTAGCTAGTATTACAGGCATGAGCCAGCATCGCTCGGCACAAACTGGCTATTTACGCTATTTTTGCTTTTTAAATCTCTGGGTTGTTAGATTACTGAACTTTATTTTTGTATTCATGTTATTTTGGGGTATGTATCTCTCAAAGACAAGATGGTATGCTATTCACAATGGCTCAACTGTCAATGTTGGCTTTATCATAGTGTGAAAGCACTACACAGGGGGTTGGGAAGGTGGCTCAATGGTAGAGTGCTTGCCTTGCATGCATGAGGCCCTGGGTTCGATTCCTCAGCACCACATAAGCAAAAAGAAAAGAAAAAAACCTCCCTCCCCCCCAAAAAATAGTACTACAGTCAGTAGAAATTATAGTCGAATTTTTATCTTTTCCCAGGCTAGCAAAACTACGATGCTTTGTTTGGAAAATGGCAAAAGCAATGTGCCACAGCTCTAGTTAGCTATGGAGTCACAAGTGTCCACAGCAGACAGTATAGCATACTAGGTTGATAAGTTACAATGTTCAGTAGGTATGATGGATTAAATGCATTTTTCCTTTCCAGTATTTCTAATTTACAATGAATTTACTAGGCTATAACCCCACAGCAAATCAAGGAGCATACAATATCATTAACAGTTTAATATCAAGAAAAAAATGACCTAATGGAATTATCTTAACTGTCTAATTTATTCTACCCATATGTGGACAGGCTCATTGGGAGCTGAAGATGGAGAATATTATCCAAAAACAAAGTACAGTGGTATTTTCGGTAGTCACAACTATGGGAAACTCAAGTGGTAGAATGTTTGCTTAGCAAACTCAATGCCCTGAGTTCAAATCTATAATAGACTCCCTCATTTCCCAACTCACACCTAATGTATTAGGAATACTGCTAAACAATTTCAACTCTATCCAACCATAACATTCTTTCTTACCTTTGCATTTCATCTTGTGTAAGATTCTTTCTCATTTCTCTAGAGAGATGATAAAGACGATGGAGCGTAGATGCATGAAAAAGAGCATTGCCAGATTTCCAAAACACAGTTGAGACTTTGTTATAGTAATTTGCCATCAACTGAGGTTTAGGTGGCTTTTTAGATAAGGAGAATAGGCCATGAATATCTTCCACAGCTTTGAATGCTTCCTAAAAGTAATAGTATAAATTAGTCACTGCATTCTAAAACCTAAGAATCTCTAGTTCAGATTTTGCTGTGAATCCTAACACAAAGAGTACACAAAAATAACATACATATACATGACTTCATATATTGTTATCTACAATATATATTTGAATCAACTGCCATAATTACCAAATCACTAACATTTTAAACTTTTAAGTTAGTTAGGAGCCAGGTGCCAGTGGCTCATATCTATAAACCCAGCTACTCAGGAGACTAAGATCTGAGAACTACAGTTCAAAGTCAGCCCTGTCAGTATGAGTCTTATCTCCAATAGAACCACCAGAAAGCCAGAAGTAGAGTTGTGGCACAAAAGGTGGTAAAAGCCTTGAGTTAAAAAGCTAAAGGCTAGTAGTACCCAGGCCCCAAGGGCATGCCCCAGGACTGGCACACCCAAGCATGAGCATACGCATACGCACGCACACAACTCTTTAGAAATTAAACATCTGGGCCCACATGGCTCACATCTATAATCCTAACTACTCAGAAGGCTGAGATCTGATTTTCCAAGTAGGAAAATCCATGAGACTCTTTATCTCCAATTAACCACCAGAAAACTGGAAGTGGAGCTGTGGCTCAAAGCGGCAGAGCACTAGCTTTGAATGAAAGAGCTCAGGGTAGCACCCAGACACTGAGTTGAGCCCCATGACTGACAACACAAAACAAAAAAAAAACAAAAAGTAGAGTAGACTGACCAGACTAAAAGGAAAACATTTGCATATCATTATACCACCTGAAGCCAATATAAAGGAAAGATCTGAAAGGATGTCCAACAGAATAAATTCAGGTGATTTCTGAGTAATCAGATAATGGATGAACATTTTTTTTCTTTGTACTCATCCATTTTTCCTATTATGAGCATGTTTACTTGTCCTCTACAAGTAGTAATTTAAGATGCAGATACCTATAGAAAAGGAAAATATTATAGGACAAACCAGGAATCAAACCAGTTTTACTTAGATGGAAAGCTGGCCATTTTTCATCCTCTCCTGTAATCTGTTCCTTTTTTACAAAACATAAAAAGCCTGGCTGGGAATGTGGCTTAGTGGTAGAGTGCTTGCCGTGTATGCATGAAGCCCTGGGTTCGATTCCTCAGTACCACATAAACAGAAAAAGCCAGAAGTGGCACTGTGGCTCAAGTGGTAATGCTAGCTTTGGGTAAAAGACACACAGGGACAGTGCCCAGGCCCTGAGTTCAAGCCCCAGGACTGGGGAGAGGGAGGGATTGTGTGTGTGTCTATAAATACACACACACCACACACACACATGCCTTATAAGACTACAAAATCATGTAAAAATGTCTTTTGGGCCTCATATATAAAAAAGATAAGCATCCTTGCATCACTGGGTTCAACCAAGCATGGTACTATGTAAGTTAAATGCTTGAGGCCTGAGTTCAATCTCTAGTATCAGCATAGCAAACATACCTTTTTACGAAAAAGTATCCAACCTAGCATCAATAAATATTAATTAACAAAACTCAATAGTTAATACAAAAATGAAACTGAAAACCAACTCAGTGGTACAGCAAACAATCTTAAGGCAAAACAAAACACATAAATCTTTTTTTGTTTTTTTCTGAATACTGTCCCTTAACTTTTTGCTAAAGGCTTGCACTCTATCACTTGGGACACGGCTCCACATCCAGATTTTTTGGTGCTTAATTGGCAATAAAGTCTCATGGACTTTCCTGCCTGGGCTGGCTTCAAACCATGATCGTTAGATCTCATCCTTCTGAGTAGCTAGGGTTACAGGCATGAGCCACCAGCCAAGCACCTTTACAAATGTTTTTCTTCTCTATACATAGTTTAACTTTCTACACTCCTCTATACTAAGCTCATATATTTAATGCAAACTGTCATTAATCATGGGACCACACTCTGAACAGCATTGACATGGCATCGTTTTCTCTGAAAAAAGCTGAATCTGAAAGATTACGTAATTTGTACAGATTTCACAATGATTAAACCAAAATTATCTTCTGTTCCATGAGACCTTAAAGTCTTTACTTTGTCTATTTTGTAAGATATTAAGAAAAAAAAGCCAATAGTTCAAACATACCTGCCATAGTTCCATGCTGATAGCACTATCCAGCTGAACAAGCCTTGTTTCCAAATGCATAGATTGGCTCTCTGGATTATTAAGATTGATTGCTGTACTTTGGTTATGGTGGCGCTGAATCTGTGATAAGTGCATTCTCAAATTGTCACAAAGCTTGCGGAATTCAGCCTTACGAGTATATTGGAGGCAAAATTTGAACGCTGTAAGCATAATTGTCAAATATATTACTAAGTTCTTTCCACTATCAACTCATTATTTAAATGTCACATTAGTTATATTAACAAGATTCACCAAACTCATCATTAGTCTTTGAATGTTACAGAACTTTAATGTGCCCAGATTACCATTTTGGACCCTAAACAAACAAAAGAATGGTCACTGGTCCTGGTCTAAGACCAACATATGGTCCTAGAGGTTTATAAAGAGGATATTATTGAAATTTAAATTTGGCAAAGATTCACCAGTTTTCAAATCCTAAGCGTAGAAGAGTCTAAGCTGAAATACAATGAATTTACTACATATCTAATTTGGAGTGTAACAACATACTTTCACAGTAACAAAAACAGAAATTGCCAATAATCAAATTTCAGCTATTTACATAGATCAACTACTTGCAAATACTATTTCTAACAGACCCAAAACAAAGTAACAAGTTTAACAGAAAGTAAATCATTGTATCAATGAAGTTACCAAGAAGCCCAAATTTACTTTTAGTAAAAATTCACATGTGCTAGCCATAAAAACACACACAGGGGGGCTGGGAATGTGGCCTAGCATACATGAAGCCCCTGGGTTCAATTCCTCAGTACCAAATAAACAGAAAAGGCTGAAAGTGGCTCTGTGGCTCAAGTGGTAGAGTGCTAGCCTTGAGCAAAAGAAGCTCAGGGACAGTATGCCCAGGCTCTGAGTTCAAGCCCCAGTACTAGCCAACCCCCTCCCCCCACACACACACAGGGTAATAGTCCCAATAAAACATTAATAACTGAAGTCACTTAACAGTAAAATGTAGAACTAGGCATGATGGATCATACCTGTAATCTCAGGATTGGAAAAGCTAAGGAAGGGGCTGGGAATGTAGCTTAGTGGTGGAGTGCTTGCCTAGCATGTATGAAGTCCTGGGTTCAATTCCTCAGTATACACATGAAGACCCCCTGGCATACATGCCTAGCATACATGAAGCCCCTGGGTTCAACTCCTCAATACACAGAAAAAGCCAGAAGTGGCACTGTGGCTCAAGTGGTAGAGTGCTAGCCTTCAGCAAAAGCAGCTCAGGGACAGTGCCCAGGCCATGAGTTCAAGGTCCTCCTCCCTCCCCCCAAAGCTAAGGAAGAAGGATCATACATTCAAGGATAGTCTGGGCTATGTGAGATCCTGTCTCAATAAAGGAAATGCCAATCATTATTGAAAGACTTAATTTAAAACAGGAAAAAAAGCTAAAGCCACTGTCAAGTGGCTATTACTCAAAAAACAGCATTTACTGCAAGAAAGAACGACAAGTGGCAGTATTTTCAGAAAGTTTCAATCTCCCTTCAGTAAGACTTCAAGAAAGGAAAAATAGCCAGCTGCCAATGGTATACACCTATAATCCTAACTACTCAGGAAGCTGAGACCTGAGAATCGTGTTTCAAAGCCAGCCCGGACATCAAAGTCTGTAAGATGTTTATCTCCAATTTATCACACAAATAGCCAGAAGTGGCACTGTGGCTCAAGTAGTAGAGTGCTAGCCTTGAGCAAAAGGAGCTTAGGGACAGTGCCCAGGCCCAGAGTTCAAGCCCCAGACTGGCAAAAAGAAAAATAATTTTTTTCCCTAAAATTCTTCATATCCAATAGAGTAAAAAACAGAAATCAAAGCCAAATACTAGTGGCTCTTGCCTGTATTGCTTGCTACTCAAAAGGCTGAGATCTGAAGGATCACAGTTTGAAGTCAGTATTAAGTTAGAAGGAAAGTTCTAAGATTCTTATCGCCAATTAAAGAGCAAAAAGCTGTAACTGCAGCAGCACTCAGGGACAGTACCAGGGTGAGTTCAAGCCCAGGACCAGCAAAAGAAGGGAAAAAATCAATTTTACCAGAAAGTAATGAAAAGTTCCTTTCTTTCCATCACTTGGAAAATTCCAAAGACTTAAAAAGTCTTTTAGACCTTTTCCAATACATTTCATATGGAACTACTTTAATTGGTAATACAAATTTCTTATTTGGCTATCTACTTAATACTCAAATATTACTCATACTTCAGTTAAGGGTTAGACTAATTCATTTCTCCAAGTATTAAAGGAAGTTAATTTGGAAAAATCTATTTTTAAATTAACTTTTCAATCAGTTAACTGAGCTTTCACAGTGAAATTTACCTTGCTGGGCAATGTCATGGTAGAGGCGCTCTACTCTAGAGTTGTTTCGAAGGAGGTCCAAACATTGTCTATACGATTCCCACAGGAACTTAACCCAGGGAGTTAAAAGTAATCTGTCAGTACGATCCTGAGTGTCTTCCCCACTCACAGCACTTAAGAGAACACTACAAGGAAAATAAAATTTTTGAAAATGTTATGATTTCCTACTTTCCAATGTGACTCAAAATTCAAAACCAACAGTGATCACTGTGAAATGATACGAAACTTTCCTATGTCTTCACATTTAAACATACCTGAACTCCCAACCTGTTATAACCATTTAAATTAATGCCCTTCTATCCTAAATCTGTATACAGTCCACTTTTATAAATTTTAACTGTTACTTGTTGCTGTGATATACATTTAAAACTTCAGGGAGTTGGGAAGGTAGCTCAGTGGTAGAGTGCTTGCCTTGCATGCCTGAGGCCCTGGGTTCGATTCCTCAGCACCACATAAGCAAAAAGAAAAAAGCAGGAAGTGGCGCTGTGGCTCAAGTGGTAGAGTGCTAGCCTTGAGCTAAAGAGCTGAGGGACAGAGCCCAGACCCAGAGTTCAGGTCCCAAGACTGGACCCAAAAAAAAAAACTTCAAAGGTAAGTGTTCTGAAAAAATTACTTCAAATGGGAACAATGAAGACCTTTATAAGAAACACTGCTCCAAATATTTAGTAAAGATGTAACTTACTACATACCTCTCAGGAGTTTGAATATTATCCAGATCTTCAATATCTAGCACCATCTGTTGGGATTCTTCTTTAGCAGCTTCAGTTTTTTCCTCTGCTAGTTTCAAATATGCCCTAACAACATCCTCTAAAGATTTAATGTTCACCTAAACAGGGAGGGAAAAAGTAACTCATTTTAAATAAAAAACCGTATGTGTATAAAGGAAATTTGTGGTACAAAATGTATTTACTTTAAAAGGTAAATTTTAAAAACTCAAAACTGAGTTCTATTTATTACCTGTTGACAAATGTTTTTATACTGATATAATCCTTCCTTAGCCAAGTGGCTCTTACGAAGATCCACACAAAGTTCCAAGTATTTCAACATAATTGGCTCGTGTATCTTTTGCCATGTTCTATGTTTCTTACTTTTCATAACATCATAAAGAACATCCAGGGCAGGTTGCTTTTTGCCAACCTCAAGAAATTCTGAAAAAACAATTCAGCAGCATTAAGTCAGTACATAAAACACTACACTACATACAAGTGTAAATTAAACCTTACCTACTGAAGTAATTTCTTAACTCATTACCTATTTCTTAGGTCATGCTTATTTTGAAATTCTAAAAGGAAACCAAACTGTTAAATCAATGAAGATGGTACTACCTCAAAATATACTAATAAAACTGCATGGAGGAAAATCTCTCCCAGCAACTTTTAAAAAATCACATTTGTGGCGCTGTAGCTCAAGTGGTAGAGCGCTCGCCTTGAGCTGAAGAGCTGAGGGACAGCGCCCAGGCCCAGAGTTCAAGCCCCACGACCGACAAAAA